AAGAGGATGTGGGGATCACTGGGGGCATATCTGGGGTCCTTCCTCCTAGGAACCATTCCTCCTTTCTAATCCTTAGCAGAGCTGACAGTGGGGGTGGGAGGTGCCGAAAAACGATGACCTCTTTTGCAATCAGTACTAGTCCCATGGAAAGGTTTCTAAGGAGTCCACTTTCCTGGGGGACCCGGCGATTTTTTTCCCCTTGGGATGCAAAACCGCCCTCAGGGTACCTGATCCTCTCCTCCACCATTGGAAAATGGGGACAGTAATAGCCACCTCACAGGGTTACCGTGAGGACAAGTGAGATGACATGTTCGTACTGCCTGGCGCATAGAGGGGCTCGGTAAGCGGTAGCTGCAGCTCCTTCCCTCTCCTCTAGACTTACTGATGTGCTGCGATGAAATGCACAGAGCGGAGGCTAACCAGCAGGTGGGCAGCTGAGGAGCAGGGGAGCCGGGCCTGCCCTCGGAGGACAGACTGACACGCAGGGTGCAGAGGGCCAGGGACCTGCTCAGCAGCTGAGCCAGGTGGGCTGTGGGCCTCCCTGCTGAGGGGTCACCTGCTTATCATCTTTGCCATGAGCATCTGGCCTCAGAAAGGACCCTTCCTTTGCCACCCTGCGAGGACGATGACAGGGAAATAAACACGAAGCGACCATTAGAGGAGCTGGGTTGCAGGCACCTTTCCTTCCTCTTTCAGGTCCCTGCTGTCTTCCTCTGATCAGCACACTTAAGAATCTACAGGGCATCGCCATCAGCAACATGACAGTGTGCCCTCTGCTTTAGCTTCAGGGTTACAAAGGATCTTTTTACATAAGCACACACAGCCTGGCCAGTTTCTTCTCAGGCATTTTCAAGTTAAAAAACTCTTTTACTCTGTTTGCTTTTGAGCTCCATTCCCCTAAAAGCCCAGATTCCCTCCCAGGAGCATGAGAGGCTCCGAGGCTGAGGTTCAGGCTGCAACCTCACCCCCTCCTCCGACTAGTGCTCGGCACCTTGGCCATCAGCCCTCTAGCAGGAGCTTTTAAACTCGGGCTTCCCACCGGACTGTGCTCTGTGAAGGCAGGAAACGAGGCTTCGATTTCTTATTGTCACCCTCCCAGCACCCAACCCAGTTCGCCGGATACCAACCCGGTTCACACCCATGTTGGTGTAGCTGCCGGAGGACACTGGGTGGACAGTGTGGGCCGCTCTCCAGCAAGAGGGAGAATAAAGAAACCCCGGTGTCAGCCGGCCAATCTATAAAGCTGGCTTCCAGCCGCCACATCAAGGTGGCGGGAACGCCCGATGTGCCGCCAGCTCCCAGTCTGGAAACGTGTTGTTAGAGCACCGTGACCCGCCCACACCTCCCCTACCCACCGTGGCCCCCAGGCACCTGCCCATACGTCTCCTGCCCACCATGGCCCCCAGGCCAGTGAATGCCTTGGGAGCAGCATGCTTGTTGCCAAAAAGGAAAGTACAAAATAGCACACAGTTGAATTGCAGAGGAGAAACTGAAGCAAATAAAGACATATTACATTCACAGACCAAATAGGCGGATCTGGAGTTGGCCAGAGACTTGACTTTGGAAGGACTTTGCGAGCCTATTTAGGAGGTAGAATGTTGTTTAACTTTAGTGCAGCTCTGTTGTAAGGAAAACACTGGACTATGACCCTGGCAGTCTGCACTTGGGTGACACGTGGTGATGAGAGGGGACAGCTGTCTGTGGAAAAGTGGGTGCTCCAGGCACCTGTGTTTGGATCAGTCATGAGTGCCCCCCCACCCCACCCCCGCCAATCTCTCCCTGACACTTTGCAAGGCCACAGTATTCTGATGAGCTTGCCTTTCTTCACATCCTGAGATGAACCCCCGGGCCGCAGCTCACAGGGCATGCTGGGAGCCCGAAGGTGCCCAGGATGGACCAGTGACGATGGCAGTCACGGTAGTGGCGGCAATGTTAACAACGGGGACAGACGACGCCTGGGGCTTGGGCTGGGCCACCACTGTTCTCAGTGCTTGCTCATAACCCTCACAGCAACCTGACGAGGTACCGCTACCATCATTCCCATTTTAGAGGTTAGGAAATGAAGGCACAGAAAGGTTTCGCCATTTCCCTGAGGTCACACAGTGCCAGTGCTGGGATTTGAACCCGGGCAGTCAGGCTCCGGGGCCCTGGCTCCTCGATGCTATCTCTGCCGTCTTTCTGCTCCTTTAGTAATAAGCACATCACTTGTGAGCCACGTGAGGGGCACCGGGCCAAGACAATCAGACAGATTTAGGAGGAAAGAACTCTGGGGACTCGGGGTCTGCCTGGGGCCACCCAGTAAGGGTGGAACTCAAACTCAGATGTGGCTCCCTGACTACAAAACGCGCTCTCTTTTCACTGAGCTAGTCTCCGGTGAAAAGGTTCCAGGCTCAGGCCATTTCGGGGTAAGGAAGGAACTGAAGTACCCAGCCTTACGGGACAGGTCTGCTTATGACATGCTATGTCCAAATGAAGCCAAGCCATTCGGGAGCCAGGAAAAGTAGCTGTTGCTATTTAAAGGACTTCTGCTATGTCCCCCCAGGCAAAGACTCGCTCCCTGGTTTACCTTCTTTCTGTGTTGATGAAGCAGGAGAAGAGGGAGCCAAATGAATTCAGGAAGAGCCCATAGGAAAGTGCTGGCAGCTGTGCTTTCTGCTCCAGCAGTTAAGTTGCTACAACCTGCCCGTGGGAGTCCGTGCGGAGGAAACCGTCCCGGCCTCTGGGAGGATGGCTCCCTGCCGAGGATGCTGCTGTGAAGTTGGACGCAGAGGCGCAGGCAGGATCTTGGGGGAGCCCAGCCTGGGGTCCTGCCAACCTCTCGTTTCTACAGCAGACTTGGAAGCAGCCGCTCGCCGCCTCCCCAGTCGAGCTGCCTACGCTCAATGGCTCACTTTGCCAATGGGCTCCGTGGGCTGCCATCCCTGGCAAGCAGGGCTGGAGGGGCCGTTAATTCACCCGAGTCCGGACTTCACGTGTGACTGGGAAAGTAGGATCCGAGTTCATCTGGGAAGGGACAGGACAGAATCCACTTGGGATGGGGGAACTGGTTCCCAGGAAATATACAGAAATCCATGTTCATCATGTGAACGGATGGGCAACGTTTGTTCTCCTAACTGGTGATGTCATACATTTTTATGAGATTAGAGGTGATGAGTTGAGAAAGATGGTGGGACATCCCAAATGGGGAAGGATCATGGAGCTACCAGGTGTGTATGTGTGTGTGTGTGTGTGTGTGTGTGTGTGTGTGTGTGTGTTCAATTTGTGATTCAAAGCATAGCTGCTATTCATGCAAAATCCATTCCATTCCGGTCAAGGTCTTAGCATCTAGACCCCCTTAATGC